TTTCTTATTGTCTCAATGAGAATTTGGTTTATATTTAAGTTAACTTTTATTTAAATTATGTAATACATTAAAATAAACATGATTAAACATTTGCTAAAAACACATACAATTTGTTATAAACTGGTGAGATTATTTATTTATAATAATAATAAAATAAAAGAAATGTGCAGATAGAATCCATCACATAACAGTTATGTGAAACAGATGAAAACCTTTGAAGTTTCATTTGTTTCACATTTACTTCACCTAACCTTAAATTGTGTATGTAAATATTAATATTTTTCCATATTCTGCGAAATGCAAAAATATAATATTGTTCAACACGTAGATAAAACATTTTCATATATTGTCAACATGTGGAAACAGCATTTCCATGGCGCGTTCTTGCCTTTGTTCATTTCGGATCCTGCGACAATTTAACAATTCAATAATTGCAAAAATAATTTTAATATAATTTACTTACAAATAATAAAAACAGCACAACATCACTATGGTACAAACAATTCCCGTAAGAGCTGCACAACCAAGGAAATCATTCGTTTATTTCACATGCGTCAAAGTGAAGAATAAAGCTGGAGTTTTCAAAATAATGATCATTGAATATTTACCGAATCCTACCGAAATGATCTTAAAAGTTACATTTTGCAATTTTTACATTATTTAGCTGTCAGATCTGATACAAAAATATCACGAACTGGTGTTTTCCAGGATTAAAATCTGCTATTATTTCATAAGAAAACTAATCCAACAGCAATATTATCCACGTCATTATCCATTATCATTATGTCATTCAGAATTCAATAAAAATCTCGTTTTCTATGTTTATTCAAAATCATTTCTTTTTGATAAAAAATCTAGTTCATAAAGTACCTATTAATAATTTGGGAAAAGTATTCGTCTATGTTATTTATTTTTTAATAATTTTAAAAGTTCAACGTCCCTTTAAAAGTTCAACACAAGAACTTATCTTTCTCAATACTATTCTCTCATACCTATGATTCCTTCAACTTCCTTCACCATCTTCTACGAATCATTGCAACGCACTTTCTATGAGACCTACAGTTACATCTTCATTCTCTTATCATCTGCACTTCATGCAACAAGATGAATGGAGAACTTCTTCACAGCGATACAACAATTTTACTATCCAAAAACTACATTCTACTCCATGTAGATAATTGTGCATTATAGTATTTTTTTTTCTAATATGGTCTCCTCACTTGAAGTTGTTAGACTGTATTGTATTAATCAAGTAAAAGGTGTAATAACAATGTAATCACTTGTGATGCATCTTTTTTTTAACACATGCGTACCTATTGTTTCATAAATAACAAAGAAGCACGAATTGCGTCTTTTGTATCGATTGTTTTATTGTCAAAGAAAATTATCGATCAAATTGACCGGTTTTGGTAGATAAGAAAATTTTGAGATTTTTCTGTGAAAATAGAAAATATTTAGAGAAACAAATACCTATTGTAATTCATAAAATATAATAACGATGTGATATTGTAATCTTTGAAAAATTGTTATACGATGATGAAATTATTTGTATAAATTAATAATTCATAACAATTTTCATTAAATATAGCTGTTGCATGGCTCTAATCTAATAATAGAAATTTTTAATTGGATTATTTATTTAAAAAATGCAGCCGAACGATATAATTAATATGCGATTGCGTGCTTCGGAAATACCAGGTCTGTAAATAAATAATCTTAATCGTAATTACGAATACAATTCCCATTATTTATTTACAATCTGAAAAAAAAATATGCAAATTACAACAATTACATGAATTATTCAAAATTCTAAATTTAATAGTTTCTTGACCACGTGTGTGTATAAAGCAAAACTTTATATGGCTGCAATTTGTATTCCATTAATAGATTGAAGAAAAAAGTAACACTTTCAGTGAGGATCGATAAGATAAGCGTCGAGTATAAAATAATATTTGGAATATATCGAATAATTCAGGAAATAAGCTGTTAAATTTGTAGTACAACGTGTAAGAAATGAAAACAGCGATTATGAACAAACAGACTGAATATGTTACAAAGTTCATCTTCATAAATTTATCTGCTATAATCATTGGAATTGTGATTATACTCTGTTGGATGTTCATAAATATGTAAGTAGATTTTTGGTGTAACTGCGTACTATAATTAATAACATTACTTGCAGAGCTGTTAAATGCCGTCGACAATATATTAGTCTGAGGGCATTCAAAATGATGCCATCAATAAGTATAGTAGATGCAACAGAACTTGAACAAGTTGATAATTAATGTCCATATTATTTTTTATTATATATAAATAATGATAATAATATTTATTTTTATTATTATATATATAAATATTGTTTAATTTCAATAACTAATCATAAAGCAAATTAGAAATTTGTAATTATGTTTTGGTTAAAACAATGTATTTAATTTTAATATTAAAAAATAAATTCGTTTTTAATATGTATGTTAATAAAAATTATTGATTTTTCAAATGAATTTATTTTGTTCGAATTGAAATGCGACTAACTTCATTTAATTTCGAAAAAAATCCACAATATATAAAATCGTCTATTGTACTGAACACATAAAAATAATAAAAGCAAATAAAAAAAATATGAAGAAACATATATAGCAGAGTTTTACTCGATTTAATCACATCGTATTAATAATGTCTAATTGCAACGTTAACCAACACGACTTAAGAGCATTGCTCGCTCAACCATGGTCTTGGTCGGAAATAGTGCAACTCATATTTGTTGTATTTGCTTGCGTGGAGTTAAGCATTGCATCCTATCAAATATTTCGTGAGTGAGTAAAAAAATACAAAAGCACTTGTATATTGAAGTAACATAATCATGATTTTTAGCACTTACTGGCCAGAGAGACGTCCTCGCAGAGTCAGAAGGCAGGAGCCTCCGATGATCGAGGAGTTTCGCACGTTCCGTGACTTGTAATCTTATGATTACCTAATTCTCATCACATGTACTAAATACTGTCCGTATTTATAAATTTATGATGCAATCAAAAATTTATAAATATCATGTTAAATGTATATATGGTGAGAAATGAAAGTTGCTAGTATAAATTTCCGGACTTAGAAGGAACATACAGTAAATAAAAAATGCTTCATTCTTTTATTTGCCGCCGTATGATTTTAAAAACTGCTTCTTTGATTTATTTTACTTCAGAGAAAACCAGCTAACGTCATTTTTATCTAAAGAAATTAACCATTATACTGTGCAAGCTTATAATAAAAAACACAAAATGTAAAGAAATTTATTTTGTAGTCCCCTTCCTGATTTTAACAGTTCATTATTTTGTTATGTCGACGTGTAAATATTTTGAATATTGTCTTCACTGTAATTTAGAACAATTACTTGCATATGATGATTTATTTTTTTTGGAGAATATTATTTTAATTTACGTTCAGATTGCTTTGTCTGGTGATAACACTGCTATTATGTGAGTAAACAACGCAAAAATATTTGCATATTTAAATTACATACTCATCATTTTTTAAATATGATGGCGCCCTCGAACACCGATAAGACGAAAACCTTCTCTCATTGAAGAGTTTCGTTACTTATAATGTCGTCATTACTCATCACATATAATAAATACTGTTCATATTTATACATTTATAGTGCATATATTGCTTAAAGATCATTTTTAATGTATGTATGATGAGAAATGCAAGGTTTGGGTAATGTTGGTCAGTTACGTATTGGAGGAATTTCATGTTATCATACAGAATACAATTCCCATTATTTATTAACAAATATAAAAATGTGTGTATAAAGCAAAATTTCATATGTCTGCAATTTGTATTCTATTAAAAGATTAAAGAAAAAAAGTAATATTTTCAGTGAGGATCGATAAGATAAGCGTTGAATATAAAATAATATTTGGAATATATCGAATTATTCAGGAAATAATATGTTGGTTAAGAAAAATTTGTAGTACAAACAGACTGAATATGTTGTATATTTTAAATATGTATATTTATATTTTATATATGTGTACAGTAAATCCCTCTGAAGGCATTAAAGATGCAACCAATAAGTATAGTAGTAACAAAATGATAAATGATGTCCGATATATAAATATTGTTTAATTTTAAGAATTAATCATAAAGCAAATTATAAATTTGTAATATTATGTTTTGGTTAAAACAATGCATTTCGTTTTAGTATTGAATAAATTCGTTTTCAATATTTATGAGAATAAAAATGATTGATTTTTTAAAATGAATTTATTTTGTTCGAATTGAAATACGTCTAACTTCATTTCATTTCCAAAAAAAATCCACAATATATAAAATCGACTGTTGTACTGAACACATAAAAATAATAAAAGCAAATAAAAAATAATATGAAGGAACATAAATAGCAGACTTTTACTCGATTTAATCACTTTCTATTAAAATGTTGAATTGTGAGAATTTGGAAGATCCTCTACAATGCGAAATGAAAGAAATGCTCGCAAATGACATATATTTATGTTTGCAAATATTGCTTTATTCTGCTGTCGCTTTTACTTGCCTCGAGTTCTGCATTGCTATAATTAAACATTACTACGCGTGAGTAAACAATACAAAACCACCTGGATGTGTAAGTTAATTAATCATCATTTTTAGTAATGACAGTCCACCGAGATGTCCTCGCAAACAACAGGAACCCATTTTTATCGAGATGAGAACATTTCGTGACCTACAACCTATTGGAAACATATAACTACCTAATTCTTATCATATGTATTAAAAAATGTTGGTATTTATAGATTTATGATGCAATCAAAAATTTATAAATATCATGTTAAATGTATATATGATGAGAAATGCAAAGAACTTAGTATTGTTGGTCAAAATAGAATTGGGGACTTGGTGTCAGCATGCATGCAATTAATAAGCTTCTTTATTTTCTTTGCGGCAATATGATTTCAAAAATAGCTCAATAGCTTTTTTTAGCTTTTGCTTTCAATGTATTTAAAAAAAATTAAAAAAAAAACTAGCTGAAATTTACTGTATTGAGCATAAAAAGAATAAAAGCATATATGTAAAAATAAACTTATTTTGTAGTTTCTCTTCCAAATTTTAACAGTTCGTGTATTGTAATGTCGTCGTGTGATCTTGATTTTGAATATTCGCTTCAGTGCGATTTAGAAGAATTATTAGCATATGATGATTTATTTTATTGGAGAATATTGCTTTACTTAACGTTCGGATTGTTTTGTATATTGACAATACTATTATTAATGCGTATAGTCTGGGAGTGAGTAGACAACTCAAAAGGATAAGCATAATGAAGTTACATTATCATCATTTCTTAGATATGCATTCCGACGGAGACGTCCTCGAAGACCACCGCTACGACGGGAACCTTCTCTCATCGAGGAGTTTCGAACATTCCGTGACCTATAACATATCTCATCGCATATAATAAATACATTTCGTATTTATAAATTTATAGTGTATCTAATATTTAAAGATCATTTTAAATGTATGTATGATGAGATATGCAAGGTTTGGGTAGTGTTGATCAGTTTCGTTTTGGAGAAAGTTCATGTGATCATACAGAAAATAAATAATATTTCATTATTCTATTTCTCATCGTATGATATTTTTTGGTTGATTAAAAAATAACTGTATAAAATTTATTTATTGTACGGAACATAAAAAGAATAAAAGCAAAAAAATATAAAGAAATTTATTTTATACTCTTTTACTCGATTTTAAACACTTTTCCTTTGAAATGTCGATGTGTGAACAACATTTCAATAATACGATTCGATGCAATTTTGAAAAATTCTTCCATCGAGAAGATTTTTCATGGATGAGAATATTTGCTTTCTCATGGATTTGTTTTTGGATTCTAGTGCTCCGTGCATTGTGGGAGTGAGTAACTAACACAATAGTAAATGCATATTGAAATTACTTAATCAACATTTTTAGGTTTCTATACTTCATGGAGATTCCGCTAAAAAGGACTAGGAAAAGGGAACCTTCTCTAATCGAGGAGTTTCGAACATTCCGTGACCTATAACCTAATGGACATCTCATGTCTCCCAACCACTCATCAATTATAATAAATACTATTCGTATTTATGATGAGAAATGCAAAGGAATGAGAAATGGTAGTTAATTTAGAAATCCGAACTTCGTATGAGCATACGGAAAATGGATAGTGCTTCATTATTTTATTTGCCGCTTATGCTTTTCAGCGTTTGCTTTCTAACAGCTTAATTTATTTTGGGCTTGCTTACAAACAAACTTTTTAAAATACACCGCTATGCCAAATATAACAAATTAATGCACCAAATAAAAAATAATAAAATGTATTTTGCAGTCTTTTATTTCATTTGAACCATTCATATTTTGTAATGTCGACGTGCGATGATTTTGAATATTCCATTCTATGCGATATAGAAGAACTATTTGCACGTGATAAATTATTTTTTTGGAGAGTGTTGCTTTCCTCCACGTTCGGTTTGTTTTCTTTGGCGATGACAATCATATTATGTTATGCATGCTGAAAGTAAGTAAACAATGCAAATGCATCTGCACATCAAAGTTACATAATCGTCGTTTTCAGGGCTATATGTCGACAAACGCAACCCCGAAGACTGGAACCTTCTCCCATCGAGGAGTTTCGAACATATCGTGACCAATAACCTATTGGAAACTCGTGACTTCTCATTTCTCATCACATACCATTCGTATTTATAAATTTACGATGCATTTAATACTTAAAGATCATTTTAAATGTATGTATGATGAGAAGTGCAAGTTTTCAGTTATGTTGGTCAGTTTGCTATTGGAGAATTATTTGCAAATGATGATTTATTTTTTGGAGAATATTGCTTTACTTAACGTTCGGATTGTTTTGTATAGTGAAAACACTATTATTATTGCGTGTAGGCTGGGAGTAAGTAGACAATTCGAAAGCATCTGCATAATGATGTTACATTATCATCATCGAAGAGTTTCGAACATTCCGTGACCTATAACATTTGTCATCGCATATAATAAATACTTTTGGTATTTACAAATTTATAGTGTATCTAATATTTAAAGATCATTTTACATGTATGTATTATGAGTTATGCAAGGTTTGGGTAGTGTTGATCAATTTCGTTTTGGAGGAAGTTCATGTGATCGTACAGAAAATGAATGATATTTCATTATTGTATTTCTCGTCGTATGAAATTTTTTGATTGATTAAAAAAAATAACTCTGTATAAAATTCGTTTATTGTACCGAACATAAAAAGAATAAAAGCAAAAAAATATAAAGAAATTTATTTTGTACTCTTTTACTCGATTTTAAACACTTTTCCTTTGAAATGTCGATGTGTGAACAACATTTCAATAATACGCTTCGATGCGATGTTGAAAAATTCTTTTATCGAGATAATTTATTCTTGATGAGAATATGGCTTTACTTTGTTCTTGCTTGTTTGATTCTAGTTCTCCGTGCATGTTGGGAGTGAGTAACCAAGACAATAGCAAATGTATATTGAAATTACTTAATCAACATTTTTAGGAAACTATACTTACCGGAGACTCCGCGAAGGACACGAAGAGAACCTTCTCTAATCGAGGAGTTTCAAACATTCCGTGACCTATAACCTAATGGACATCTCCCAACAAACAACTCATCAACTATAATAAATACTGTTCGTATTTATGATGACAAATGCAAAGGAATTGGAAATGTTAGTTAATTTAGAAATCCGAACTTCGTATGAGCATACGGAAAATGGATAATGCTTCATTATTTTATTTGCCGCTTATGCTTTTCATCGTTTGCTTTTCAAAACAGCTTAATTTATTTTAGGCTTGTTGAAATTCTGCTAACTTCACTTTGCTTACAATAAACTTGCACTTTTTAAAATACACCGCTATGCCAAACATAACAAATGAAAGCACCAAATAAAAAATAATAAAATGTATTTTGCAGTCTTTTATTTGATTTGAACCATTCATATTTTGTAATGTCGACGTGCGATG